ATTGGAGTCAGACCTGTGACCCAATGTTAGATTCACAAGAAAAAAGTCCAAAGGGATTGTTTTGGGGAGAAAAGACACATCAAGAATCTTCATTAGCAGCTTTGGCAAGCAAGTCTATTTCCCCATGAAGAAGGAAACCTAACTGGGTACACACTGTCAAATCTGATTATGTTGCTTCTGCATTGCTTCACTCTCTCTAGTCCTAGTCTCCAAGCCCTGCCACTTCCACCCTCGGGGACCTTTACAAAAGCTGAATTAGTTTTGGGAATGCCTGGCTCTTTTTACCTGGTAGTCTGAGAGTCCGTGGTTTTTTGTTCCAGTTCACCTTTCCTTTCATCTCATTCTTTGATTTTTTTTTTTGTTGTTGTTAATTCTTTTCATCCAGAACCTTAACCTTCAACAGTTAAATTATCAGCGCTTGAGAGATAAAAAGGGCATCCCACTCCCAGCTCAGTCACTTACAGACTGCAACCTTGGGTGTTTATCTCTCAGGCCACAGGAAACAGGACTATTTTGAATAATCAATTAGTTAAGATATGCAAGGCACTTAGGATAATGACTGCTACCTAGTGCATATTCAGTAAGTGTGAGCCATTAGTACTACTATTTAACATGCGGCACACTGTGACCTTTCCAAGCCTGTTAGAACATGTTACTCCTTTTTTATTTTAACTAGTTCTTTTCAGTGCAGTAATGATACTCAATTGTTTTTCCCTCTAAGGAATATTTTTTAAAGATTTTATTTATTTATTATGTATATAACATTCTGCTTCAATACAAAAAGATTTATGTATATGAATGCTCTGTCTTCTTATAGGTCTGCATGACATAAGAGGGCATCAGATTCCATGGTTCTGAGCTACCATGTGGTTGCTGGGAATTGAACTCAGGACCTCTGGAAGAGCAGTCAGTGCTCTTAACCTCTGAGCCATCTCTCCAGCCCCTTAAGGAATATTCTTAAGGTTTGTCAAAAAACATTAGCAACATAGGATGTATGCAGACATCTTATCTTTGAATAAAGCCTTTTCTCACCATGTATGAAAAATTACCCCATTGCTGCTGTGGAGAAACTGCCAATCCTTTGTAAACAGTATGTTTTCCCTCTCTTACTTTTGAGGTCCTGGGGATTGAAGCAAGCAACTGTGCATACAGGGAAAGCAAAGCATACTAAGAACCAAGTGGCAGCACCCCCACTTTCATTCTTGACTCTGAGAAGTTCCTGAGAATTTTTGTCTTATATAAATTCTGAAAAATTTTAACCATTGGCTCTAACCCTAATTCTAAAGTGTTTAGATTCCAATTAGATGACTGTTGATTCTCTCTACGCTACCTCTGAATATAGTAGTTAAGATTTTCCAACTCTGTGCTGTGTTTTGGAAATTTTTCTATTTTTTCCTCTTTTGAGCTGGGGTCTCATGTAGCCCAGACTAGCTTCAAATTCCCAGTGTAGATGAAGATGATTGTGAACTTCGGATTCTCATGTTTAGGAATTTTGAATGTGCTGCATAACCCAGGATGGCCTGGGATTATCTATCTATCTATCTATCTATCTATCTATCTATCTATCTATCTATCTATCTATCTATCTCAGGCTAACTTTGAACTTGCAGCAGGGGTTACAGCACAAGCCACTATGTCCCAAGTTTTGGAAATTTTTCTTATGCATATTTTCTAGCTCACAAATTTTATTTTCAATTCTGCCTGATATTTCATCAACACACTCTTTTAAGTAAAAAAATTATTTTATTCTTAATTCTGTGGGTGCATGTGTGTCTGTGTATGGATTTATGCACACGAGTGCAGGTGCCTACAGAGGCCAGAAATGGACACTGAATCCCCTGGAGTTGTAGTTACAGGTTGTTGTGAGCTGCCTGATGTGGATGCCGGGACCTGAGCCCCAGTCCTCTGCAAGAGCAGCCAGTGCTCTTAACTGCTGAGGTGTCTCTTTAGAACCTCCCCTCCCTAGAGTTTTAACATCAATAACTAGTAACAGAGAAACTTGGGGGCCGGAGAGATGTCTCAGCAGTTATGAGCACTGATTGCTCTTCAAAAGGACCCAGGTCTAGTTTCCAACATCTACATGGTGGCTAACGACCACCTGTAATTCTAGTTCCAGAGAATCTGATGCCTTCTTCTGGCCTTCTCCCATACATGGTACACAGGTGGAGCACAGTCCAAGAACACAGACGAGTGAGGAGAATTCTAAGTGCTTGTGAGAAAATTCCAAGGGAACAAGGGTCTTGCGACCTTCAGTTTCTTCAAAAACACAAAATTGTTCTAGGATTATGCTTTTGTGTCCCTCCCAGATGTAGTGGAGAGGAGTATGTTTACTCCAGATTACTCATTATAACCGTCTATTTGTTTATTTCTATGCCTCTATAGAAAAATATGGTTTGGTGTGTGCAGCTTATCTGCCACACGAGGCTTGTGCATTCGATTGGACACTTTGCTCATGCAATTCCCCTCAACTCTTAGAATATAAATTGTCTGATGCACTGAATAAAACTGTCTATTGCAGGAGACTTTAGTCCTCCTCATTTATGGGCTCCTTTATTCCAGGCCCCACTACTCTAGAGCAGTAGCAGTACACAGATACAAATGTAGGCAAAACCAAAAACCATATACATTCACATACATAAAATAAAAAGAAACCTTTAAAAAAAAATTCCCCTTTCCTGACAGAACTGCTTTTGTGCCATAGTTGGGAGTCTATTTATGGCTATTCTACCTGATCCCTTGGTTTATCTGTCCATCTTTTGACTAAACCTCACTTTTTGTTTGTTTGTTTGTTTGTTTGATTAGTTTTTTGAGACAGAGAACTCATACTATAGACCAGAGTAGCCCCCATACTCACAGAGATCCACCTGCCTCTGCCTCCCAAGTGATAGAAAGGCATACGCTACCACACCTAGGTTAACCCTCACTTTCTTAGCACTTCATAGTAGGCCTTGGTTTCACTGAGGATGACATTGCCAGCTCTGTTCTTTCTCAAGACTGTTATAGTTACACTGGTTTCTGTGATGGTTTGAACAGGTATGCCCCAACACACTCATGTGTTTGAGTGCTTGGCCCAAAGGGTGCATTGTACTATTAGGAGATGTGGCCCTGTTGGAGTAGGTGTGGCCTTGTTGGAGGAAGTGCGTCACTGTGGAGGTCTCATATATGCTCAAGCCACACCCAGTGTGGCACTCTCCTACTGACTGCAAATCAAGATGTAGAACTTTCAGCTCCTTCTCTGGCACTATGTCTGCCTGCACACCATCATGTCCTGCCATAATGATAATGGACTAAATCTCTGAAACTGTAAGTCAGCTCCAATGAAATGTTTTCCTTTGTAAGAGCTGCTGTGGTCATGGTGTGTTTTCATAGCAATAGAAACCCAAACTAAGACAGGTCCTTTAGTTTTCTAAACATATTTAAAATGAGTTTGCCAATTTGACAACAAACAGAAGCCTGTTGAGCATGCCATAGTAGCATATGCTCAGTCTACCCAGTGAGTTAGAGGCCAGCTAGGGTTGTCTTCTTAGATTTCTAAGCCCCAACCCTAACCCAAACGAAACCAAAAATACCTGCTAGGCCACTGACTGGTATTGATTCTGTAAGTCAGTTTGAAGATATCCTTATGTCAGCACCAAATCTTTTGGTCAACAACATGGCATACCTCTCAATTTACACAGACTCTCATTAATTCCTTTTAGCAAGGTTTTATACCTTTCAGTCTTAAATCCCTTTCATTATTATTAATCTTACTGTTGGTGGTGCTGGAGACCGAATGCAGGGCAAGCACTCTAGCATTGAGACAAACACTCCTAGTGCTCTTTAGACACTCTTTATCTTGTAGCTCTACTGTAAAGTGTTTGCACAGGTTCTATAGCACTCTCCAGAGATGATCATGTTACTTTCAAAGACTATTTTTCTTCTTTTCAAGACTTATGCTTCATGTTGTACTGGCTAGGTTTTCTAACGTAGCTAACTGTAAAAAGAGATAGTAAAATTAGACTTGGAGGACATATAGGAAGGAATGTTCTGGAATTTAGTCTTTAAATGTTGACACTAGCTAGAGGTTTTTGTGTAGGCATTGCTCAGGGGAGGAAGTCTGTTCTATGTCAGATGCCTTTTCTGCATTTACTAAAATGATCTTACAAATTTCTTCTTTAAATTGTTAATGTGAATTACACTGATTCACTTTAATATAGTATATAAATTTGTATTCCTTGGATAAATTAAACTGACCATGGAGTTTTAGCCTTTTTACATTTTCTCCCTATCCTTCAAGCATGATAGATTCAACAGCAAAGTTATCAGGGCATGGAGTTTTCCTTATAGGAAATTAATTATAAATTCAATTTAACAAACATTTAACTGATATTTTTTGCTAATTTTCATTTCATTTTTTTTGTGTCTCTCAAGAAATATGAACACTACAACTCCATTAACCGTTTTTGTTTGTTTGTTTGTTTTGTTTTTTGATAATTTTTTGAGACTGGATTATACTGTGCAGCCTTGGCTGGCCTGGAATTTGCTTTGTAGACCAGGCTGGCTTCAAACTCAGAGTTCTACCCACACCTCTACTTCCTGAGTGCTGGGATTGAAGGCATTCATTACCATACCTGACTGGGTTATCAATTATTTTCCCTCATACTTTCAATTTCTGTAAGATATGTAATGATGTCCCTTCTCTCATTCCTGATATTGGTAATCTGTATTGCCTCTCCTTTTCCCTTGACCAGTATTGTTAGGAGTTTACACTAAATGTATTGATATTTTTGAATAACTAAATTCTGTTTGATTTTCTTTCTTCTTGATCTGTGTTTCAAAGAGAACATTACAGATTAAATTAAAGGCTCCTTCATTCTCTTCCTACACATCCCCCTAGCTTCTATTCCCCAGCAACTGCTTCTTGTGTCACAATTACTATTCTTCTAAGTAATATGCATATTCAATGTGTATTCAAATAATGCTTCACTCTGGTACTCTCCTGGGACCCTCTATTCACTTACCATGTTTCCTGCCTCTGCAGCCAGTCGGGCAGCATAACGAGCTATAAGCCGGTGCTCCTCATCCAGTCGGCTAGGACTGTCCAGGACACTGCCAAAGAGATAAGATTCAATAGGTGTCTAGTAGACATCTCTAATTCTTGTTCTGTTCCTCAAAAAGGAAGGCTTATAACTAAGAATGATAACAACAAGGAGACATCTGGGTCACAGACACTAAGTCTTCTCAGACAAGAGGATTTAGGGAAATAATGAGGCAGCAAATACCATCCTCATGCATCCACATTAGCAAAAGGGCAATTTCTTTCTGAATGAAGGGCTAAGAAAAGACATCCTGCAAAAATCCGAGACAGAGATTTCTAACCAAATGTTTGGAAAAACTAACTTTACAGAGCTAGGTCTTGAACTAAAAAAAAAAAAAAAAAAAAAAAAAAAAAAAAAATAAAAAAAAAAAAAAAAACTTAAGGGTCATGAAAAACAGAGGACTGAGAAAATACTTAACACTGGCTGAAGGAAAAGGGAGAATCCCAGCCAGGGTAGGTCAAGAAGACTGTCAAGTTGGAAAGAGTCCATGATATTAGACACACCTTTTCTCCTGTCCTACAATGCTCATTTCACTCAAGGGCCCAGTTTGAAGTGAACTAGCCCATCCTTTTCCACCTCCCTCCAATTCTCCTGCCTTAGTTTCCCCAGAACAGGGATTACAAGTGTGCACCATGGGCTGGGGAGATGACTCAGAGGTTAAGAGTACTGGTTGCTCTTTCAGAGGTCCTGAGCTCAATTCCCAGCAACCACATGGTGGCTCACAACCATCTGTAATGAGATCTGGTGCCCTCTTCTGATATGCAAGTTCACATGCAGGCAGAACACTGCATACACAATAAATACATAAATCTTAAGCAAACAAACAAACAAACAAACAAACAAACAAACGTGTTTCACTGAGTCCTGCCTCATCCATTATTGTAACAATGTAAGGATCCATGCAAATGAAGTACCAGATAATACGGTACCTGATAAAAGAAAATCGGCTCCACAAATATTGTTAACTTTATTTATTTATCTATTTTTTTTTTTTGAGTTAGGGTCTCATTCTGTCGTCAAGGCTGGCCTTGAATTCACAGTAACCTTCCTTGCCTCTGTCTCCTGTATGCTGGGATTAGGGTCATAAGCCACCACGCCCACTAAGAAGCTTTAGAGAGACAGGGATGGTGATGACCAGACAGCAACATGGGACGTTAAAGCAAGAGGATCATAAGTTCAAGGTGTGCTTGGACCACAAAATGAGTTCAAGGACAGCCTGTGTGATCTGTTCCCAAATGAAAAGTAAAAAGAGGCAAGGGATCTTGTTCAGTGTTCAGGTACTTGCCTATCATGTGTGAAGCGCCCAGGTCAATCTCTAGTGCCATGAAATAAAATAAAACAATCCAATTACTGGTTTATTGTTTATCTGTTCCAGTCAACTTACAGTTTTGGAATCAGCCAAGAAATTTCTGATTCCTTCAAGGCAGTGGGGGACTCATTTCCTTAAACTGTAGTTTAGAGGATGCAGAACCCATCCTTTCCTCTTGCTCTGCCTGAACCAATGGCCACCAGTCCTTGCTCAGGGACTTAAAGATGCTAGCTAAACCTACCATAAACTCATGCGCTGATGGATCAGGTATCGGTCTCTGCCGTATTCTGCTATTGGCTTACCACAGTCCCTTTAAGCACCCAGGACACCTGCCTTTACCAACAGAACATTTCTTACCCTGCCTGAGACAAACACTTCTCTGCTCTCAAGACCACGAGGCTGGGACAAGTAGACAGACACCATCTGTGTACTGGGAGATTCTCTGACAGAGTATGCGATTATCAGCTCCTTTCTCCCTTCCACTGCAGAAGTCCACCAAACTTACCTGGAGTCTGTAGGATCTGATTGTTCCTCCAAGACTTTAAGGAGAGGGAAATGCCCCTAAATAAAGCCGTTGCTTAGTCATACTGGTAATTGGAAATAGTATGAAATGCAACAGCTAAAAATAGTCCTTTTCATTCAGTGTTTTTACTTTTATTTGTCTTGTGTGTTATGTGTATGCATGCATGTGTGTTGGCAGGCTACCATGGCATGCCAGTGGAGGTTGGAGGACAACTTTTTGGAACTAGTTCTTTCCTTCTACCACCTTGGTTATCATGTTCATCTCCAAGGGCTTTTATCTGCTGAGCCATCTCACTGGCCCCAAACAGTCCTTTTCATATGTACTTTTTTCTCAATGACAACTGCTGAAGTAGAATGTTCCAGCTTTGGAACCTCAAGCTTCCCAGGGTGTGACTGGCAGGGACCGTGCCTTATTGTAGAGGAGACTTTTTAACTCCACTCTGAGGTGAGCACCAGCCTTGGCCAGGCTCCTTCTCTTATGGAAAGCCAATGCTTTGGTGATTAACTCTGCCAATCCCAGCTGGCGGCTGTTCAATCACACCACACATGCAGAGCTGCTCCCGTTGGCAACCCAGGCACCAGATCTCAGCCCCTCCCTCAGAGCAGCCTTGGCTGCGCTCCCATAGCTGCTGCTGCTGCTCTACCAACTAACCGTGTGCAGTGTTGCAGACGGGCCACATAGGAGGCTATCAGCGCATGCTCATCGGCCAAGAGACTGGGCGTGTCCTGGCTATACTGTAACCTGGGAACGATGGAAGCAAGGACAGCAAGCATGACACAAGTACATAGGGAGAAATGAACATGGATTAAAACCAGTAAACTTAAAAGTAGAGGACACAAACACATCACGATAAAGAAAATAATAAAACCACAATGCATAATGGAATATGGTGTTAGGTCATGGAGATCTGCCCCCAATACGTCATGGCAGTCTTTGCTGTTTCCGATTTGCTTGACTGGAACATGTCCTGAAGGAAGAACCCTGCTCCCCAATTCTGCCCAGGTTGTGGGCTCTAGGTCAGAATTACTTTTTAGGAAAAGCCCTCTGGCAGGAAAAAAAAAAAACTAAGCACAATCAATCTACTGATTATTGAGTGACACCCTAATGGTATGCTTTTATGGCTTTTTCCTACACGTAAGAATTTCCAGTGTTACAGCATGCTACCTGCCAGCTGAAGTATCTCTATTTCTATTTGAGAGTCCTCACAGAAGCAGCACTTGGATGAATGCCTTAGGGTTGAATCTAATATGACAGAACAGTGAGGCCCTCTCCTACAGATACATGGAAGATCCATAAACATGAACTTAAAAACAACAACGTTTTAGCTACAGAAATGATAAAACTGCAGAGTAATCTAATGATTGCTCTCTACGTATCTATCACCAAACTTGAACAAACCTCACCACTCAATCAATCTTGTTTTACTCTAGCCCTCCTTTCCCAACTTTAATTTTTTTTATAATTGCATTCATTCATTTTTTTTTTGGGGGGGTGGTATGACATGGTGCATATGTGAAGATCAGAGAGTCAGTTCTCTTCTTCCACCAAGTAGATTCCAGGTATCAAATTCCAGTCATCAGGTTTGGCAGCTTTTCCCCACTGGGCCATCTTGCAGTCCCCTTTTCCCTTAGTCACATTTTTCCTGTACTAAGGTGACTAAGTACCCATATCTAATCATCATTAGATCTCAGGAAATCTTTTACCTGGGAACCCTGTCTATGTATCTGTGTGATAGTGAAAACATTTCACAGAATCTCAACTTTAGCTGGGCAGTGGTGAAGCACGCCTTTAATCCCAGCACTCGGGAGGCAGAGGCAGAGGCAGAGGCAGAGGCAGGAGGCAGGAGGCAGGAGGCAGGAGGCAGGAGGCAGGGGGCGGGGGGGAAGGGGGGGGGGCGGGGGGGCAGAGCGGGGGCGGGGGGGCGGTGGGGGCTGGGGGCTGTGGGGGAGG